AAGAGCGCAGACGATCAGACGCGGACGCGGACGATCGAAGAGAGGCGTGATAGGTCGATTTGATGAGGAGCGGAGCTCGGATGGGACGATCGGAGCAGGCGCAAACTAGGGCAGCGCTCGGAAAAGGGCGATCACGGGAGAGAAGAGTCGTGATCGAGCCGAGCGAGAGAGGCTTATTTTGATGGCTCTGATACATGTGAATTTTTGAATAATCATTTTTCTCACTGAATACATAGATAATTCACTTATAAATAGGTGAGTACAAGAGAAACAAAAAGAGGAAAGAATGAAAGAAACCTTTCTATAATAAAGTAATTCCTATAATTATGGAATAAACATAACCTTCCTATAATAAAGTAATTCCTCTAATTATGGAATAAACATAAATACCAATAATTAAGGAATTACCATTTTTATACCATGATTAAATATAGCAAATACTAAATAGAATAAAAGTAAATAATAATAATAATAAGGAGCGTAATTCCACATATTAAAATTTTAAGCAATGTAGAAGAATGAGATGGCCAAATAAGATGCCGGAAATGAGAATATTAAGCTAAATATAAAGTAAGACTTGAGATAAAAAAGAGAAATGACTATATAGGAAAGAGTCACGAGAGTCTGAACATCCCGATCCAATGGATGCAAACCTGGGACGTCTGCTCCAGGGCAATTCGGGAGAACCTAAACCAGTTTGATTCAAGTTTTTCTCAACCATATTGGGTTGGCCAACCCTCTAAGGCTTCTATTTGCTTCTTTTATTTAAGATTAAGGTTGCTTTGGTAGTCCTATTATATATATTTTGTTGTGGACTAGTTTGAGAGACATTTATTTTATGATTATGTTATTTAAAGACTATTTTCTTTATTTTTTCCTAATTCGGAGAGTTGTAATATATTTTCTTCAAGTGGTGAATCTGCATTTCAAAGAAAATTGATGGCAGAGCCCCCTTCATCCTATCTCACCAAAAGTGTCACCAATTGATGTTTCTTCGCAATCTTTCCTGCCCGAGTGCAGTTATGCCAGATTTCCTACTCTGATCCTTGTTGATTCTCAATTTTTTCCTTCTTACCATTCACCAAACATCTTCAACGCTTATCTCGATCTGCCCGCACCTTCTAGGAATCCTAGGATAGTGTCAATGAGAGTGAAAAATAGTATTTATCAAAAAGAAGAGTAAAAAAAATTTTGGTCATGCAAAATGAAGGGCAGACTTTGGAAGATTTGGTCTTATTGCATAAAAAATGATCTTAATTTATTAGAACTAAATGAAAATATGACACTAAATAGGACGCAATGGAGAAAAAGGATTCATGTAGCCGACCCCGCATAGTGGGATTAAGGCTTTGTTGTTGTATGTTGTATGTTGTATGTATGTAAAATGAAGGGAAGAACCGTCACTTATTAGATTGATGTAAAAATATTAGGATGAAAAAAAATGATTTATAAATGGTAACCTGACTTTATGCAAAATATATTAGCATAAAGTAAAATTGTTATTTCATATAACACTCGACAACACTGACAAAAAAAAAAAAGACTCCTAAAACTATCCCCAAATTATAGAACTAACAACGAGGATGATGGCAATGAAACCTTAAGGAAGGCAACAAATATTGGATCTTGTTTTTCAAAAAATTTAATAAAAAACTCAGTCTTTATCTTAAACTTATATTTAATGCTTCTGCTCTAGCTTTCAGTAAAAAGGGAAAAAACAAAATGCCCTTAAACGAGCAATTTATTTCAGCAAAGCCCTCCCTTGAATCATCCCATGTAAGGATTGGGAAGCAATTAGTAATCAATGGTATAAAAGGACAACATACAGCTCTCTTCTCCCCACCCTAATCCGCAATGAGCTAGAGTGGGGAGTGGAGGAGGACATGTCATGAATTACTATATGAGAGCATGGTCATTGAACACACTTTCATTCCTTTTTTATGGGGCAGCATATTCACCCAAAAAAAATGATTTATTTGATATCTAAGAGAATATCCGCTTAAAAGCTGTTAATTTGCAATTCGCAAGATGGACCCACATGATTAGATTAAATAATGAAATTTTAACTGAGCAAGCCTTGGAAACATGGAGGAAGATCAAATGCAACTGAAGCTTCAAATGAGAACTACGAACCTAAAACAAAGGCTTTGCAAACATTGGATCAATGTAAAATAATCTCCGAACTGAAAACCTAGCGCAGCTTGCATTATACTTCTTAGCATAAATACAAGCTCTATAGCTCACACACTTCTCGAGTAGATAAGTTGGAAGGCAAATAGCATTTAAAATTGGAACAAGTTTCTGAGAAAAAATCCATACCTAGGAATTTTTCTGATGGTAACATCTTTAACAGGGATTTCATCCTCAGGACGACAAGTAATCAAATTCTTGACCTGAATTCAAGATAAATAATTTAAAAATTACAAAAACAGAACTGTGGCAGTGTTGTAAATGTAAATTCTGCTGCTTCATAAGGCATTTACTGATTTTAAAAGACAACTAAAATTTAACTTGGAAGTTTATAAAAAATTTTATTAAATCCCATTGTATGAAGTGCTACTTATCTCATATTGGAGATGAAAACCCATAAACATATTCATCTTCGAGTATATATAAATTAATAAGAAAATGTAAACGTCTCTATTCAAATATTGGCATGTTCGTAACAAACATCCTATAATTTATGTTTAAATGTCAACAAAAGAAATTTGCTTTTCTTTTCTAAAAAACGGCTATATTTCAAGGAAAAAAAAGACCAAAACAAACCGAATAAATAACAGAGGATTAGAATTCTTATACCTTGCTCCCAACATAAAACAAGAAAAACGAGGATAAGAAAACTTGCATAAAATTACAAAAAATTTAGAGGCGTTGAACTTTTAAAAAAAATGGTAAATACAAATTTAATAATATGTTTACATTGACAAATTAAAAATTGACAGAATTGAGACTTTCACAACAATCACACTAGAAACATCTATGGTAGCCTAAAAGTGCGTACATTTTTATTAGTAAGTTTATATGTGATAATAGAGTTAGCCCAAACAGCAATAAGCAAATAAATATTATTATTGCAAAAGTCAATAAACGATTACAAACCAACACATGGAAATAGAAAATTACAATAGACACGACACAAACTCACATTAGAGTTCAATCTTGAGCTGGTGGTGGTCGGCTATGGAGTTTGAAATGAGTGGCAAGTGGCAGGAATGATGATATTGGCATTGGGATGAAGTATAACAGCAGTTGGAGTAGTTTTCTGAGAGTGGCAACGAGTAGGGGGCAGCTCAACAGCTAAAAAACATAAGGTTTGTTGTTTTCAAGATTGTGGCTTCTAGGAACAGTGATAGGGAGCGAGGAAGGATGGGAAAGGCTGGAGGCTGCAGGAAACAGCATAAGAGATGGCTGGCAGCTGGTTCTGCAGGAGGACAGCAAGGAACGGCAACGGGACGTTGTTCTATGCAGCTACAACAAGGAGAGAAGAGAGGGGAAGGCGGCTTGACAGCAGGAACAGCAAAAGGAGGCTGTTACGGAAGGTTGCGACAAGGAGAGGCCGGAAGTGATGGGGTGGATGCAAGGTAAGAGAAGTCGGATATAAATACCACATTGGAAGGCACCACTCGACCCTTGAAGAAAAATCGCAAGGTCGGAACGAGATACAACCGAAAAACTGCTTGCTCTTTGATACAACTCTAGATAGAAAAGCAGAGGATGTTGACGGCTGTCCTGACAAAAAACACAATAAAAAACTTAAACCTAAAACATCCCAAAAGTAACTATAAATTACTAGCATAATTAAGGAAATCAATTAGTAATGTGTTAATATTTATGAGTGAAATTAATTAATTAATGTGTTAATATATAGTCACTTGAAGCAGGCATCGTAAGTGGAAGATTCAGATGCCAAGAGGAAGGGAGTTAGTTCGTGCATGAAATTGGGATTTATGAACTGTAAGAGCCAAATCTTGCACGTATTTAATGTTCAATGATCTAATTTTTTTTAAATGAAATTATTGATTTACTTACTAAATGCTAATAACATGTTTAATTTAATTAAACATTAAAGGTAGAATATTAGATGTTGAATCAATTTAAGTTGTAAAAGAAAAAAGGAAAATTTTGTGCAAGGAAGCAAATCAAACTTTTAAGGTAAGAAATTGTATAATTATTTATGTGTCATTTTAATTATACATCATTATATATATTATATATAAAGTATTTCTTTTAACAATAAGATTCTTATCAAAAGATTCGCACATTTCATTAATATAGGTGGTTGTCCAAAAAAGTTAGTTCAGAAATCTCTTGGGAGCTAAGGTGAGTTGTTATTTTTTTTATATGTATTAAATTTAAAGTATATTAATTAAAGAATTTCTTTACAATTATTTTATAATTATATGCATATTGTAGCTTAAGAATTAAAGAAAATGAATGGGAAAAAAGAAATTGAATATTTATGTTTTTAAAAAGAGACAATTTAAAAGAAATAAAATGATAAGTAAAGATTAAGTCATACAGAAGTACTCTCAGATGATACTCGCAGGAAATGCAAAGTACCAGTGCACGTTAAAGAAAATGGTAAAAATGTACCTTCAGGTACAAATTAAGAGTACCTTCGAGCACAATATTGAGGGCATCTTCGGAATATTTTTTAGGATACATTCAGGTATGATGGTAATTCTCTGATGACTAATAAAGAGATTAAATTGATAAATATTTAAGTGAAACGGAAATGGATAATTTTAAAGTTTTAATAAAATAAATTGCATCTAAAAATAAGATTCTTCTCAATTGATTCACACATTTACTTAATATAAGTGGTTGTCCAAAGAGGTTTAGCAGAGGAGAGCTATTACAGAAATCTCTTGTAAACTACGGTGGGCAGTTATTTTCTTATATGTATTAAATTTGATGTTTTATTAATTAAAGAATTTATTTACAATTATTTTAGGATTGTATGCATGTTGTAGCTTAAAAATTAAAGAAAATGAACGAGAAAAAAAGAATGAATGTTTAATGTTTTTAAAAGGAGAAAATTTAAAAGAAATGAAATGATAGGCAAATGATTAAATCATACAGGATTATTCCCAAATGATGCTCGCAAGAAATGCAAAAAGGTTTTTCGGAATAGTATTTCAAAAATCTCTTATAAAGTAAGGTGTGTAGTTATTTTCTTATATGTATTAAATTTAATCTTTATTAATCAAAGAATTTCTTTACAATTATTTTATGATTGTATGCATGTTGTAGCTTAAAAAATTAAAGAAAATGAACAGGAAAAAAGAAAATGAATGTTTAGTATTTTTAAAAAGAGATAATTTAAAAGAAATGAAATGATAAGTAGATTAAATCGTACAACATTATTTTCAGATGATACTCGCAGAAAATGCAATATACCCGTGCACGTTAAAGGAAATGATAAAGATGTATCTTCAGGTATAATTTGAGGAGACCTTCGGGTACAATTTTGAGGGTGTCTTCGGACACATTTTTTAGGATGCATTCAGATATGACGATAATTTTATGATGGCTATTAAATAGGATAAATTGATAAATACTTAAAGTAAAATGGAAAAAGAAAATTTTAGATTTTAAATAAAATGAACTACATTTTCGTTTGGTCATTCATGCACAACAAAGCATAAAAACGTAATATATATTAGATTATAATTACTCACTAAATTATACTTATGGTTGTAATTATGTTTTTTTTAAGAGAAGAAAAGTTTTTGGTTTTTATATCTGATAGGAGATTTGGTTTATCAGAGGATGACCATTGTTGTTAGATATTTTTTATGATGATAGTTTATCTTTACTATTTCTTTCAAATATGGATATATTATTTAATAATGGCTTGAGATGTTGTCTGTGAATGTTATTATTTTTGAATGCTTTAAATTTTAATACACTTTGTGGACTAGTGGCTTTTATATGTGTAGAAAGTTTTCAAAATATGGATAAACCGATGTACCCGCCTTAATTAATTCTAAGCACCAAGTCGGGTCAGGACAAAAGTAGTATCAGAGAAATTAGGTTTGATCATGATATAAATGAGCCACTAGGATTTTGCCACTAAGCCACAAAGATTGATCATTTTGGAAAGACAAGAATGTTGAGCCCTAGATTTGTCAGTCCATTTGAGATTGTGAAGAGGATTGGTAAAGTAGCTTACAGATTGGCTTTACCAACTCATATGCAGGAAGTGCATAATGTTTTTCATATTTCTTCATTGAGAATGTATATTGCAGATGAATCTAGTATGGTGATAGCATACTTTGTAGATATTCAGCCAGATTTGACTTATATTGAAGAGCATAAAAGGATATTGGATTATGATGTGAGAAAATTGTTGAACAAAGAAATCTCTTTTGTAAAGATTTTATGGAAGCACGGGTCAAAGAAGGATGTTGCATGGGAGAAGGTTTTTGAAATACAACAAAGATATCCACAACTTTTAAATTGAGGTATGTTCCCATTCATGTTTATTTTCAAATTTCAAGGACCAAATCTTTTGGGTATTTAATGTTTAATGATGTAGATTTGTTTAAATTAAAAGTATTGAATTATTTACTAAATGTTAATAACATGTTTAATTTATAGGACATTAAATGTAGAACATTAGAGGCAAAATCAATTAAAGTTTAAAAGAAAAAGAAAAATTCCGTGCAATGAAATAAATCAAGCTTTTAAAGAAAGAAATTATAAAATTGTTTGTCTCATTTTAATTGTATGTCATTAGATATATTAAGTATTTCTTTTAAGAATAGTATTCTTATCAAATGATTCACACATTTAATTAATATAGATAGTTGTCCAAAGAAGAAGTATTTCAAAAATCTCTTGTAAGCTAAGGTGAGTAGTTTTTTCTTAAAAGTATTAAATTTAAAGTTTATTAATTAAAAAATTTCTTCACAATTATTTTGTAATTGTATAGATGTTCTAGCTTAAGAATTAAAAGAAATGAACGAAAAAAAGTAAAATGATTGTTTAATATTTTTAAAAGGAGGTAATTTAAAGAAAATGAAATGATTAAGTTATACAGGATTACCCTTACATGGTACAGGCATGGGATGCAATGTACCCGTGTGCGTTAAAAGAAATGGTAAAGATATATGTCGAAATGTGACTGAGATGGAAATAAAGTTGTGAGAATTAATTCTAATTTCTTTAATTAAGGAAATTAGAATTAATTGGTAAATCTCTTAAATTAAGGAAATTAGAATAAATTTGTAATCCCTTAAATTAAGGAAATTAGTTAAATAGTTTCCTAGTTTTTATCCTTTTAATCTCCTATATAATACCTTGTATAATCAATTCAAAGAATAAGGCGAAATACAAATTATTTCTTTGATTTCCCACAATATATCTTCGGGTAAAATTTAAGGATATATTCTGGTATAGTTTTGAGAGGGTCTTCAAATACATTTTTTAGGATACCTTTGGATATTATGGTAATTTTGTGATGACTATTAAAGAGATTAAATTAGTAAATATTTAAAGTGAAACGGAAAGAGATATTTTAAAGTTTTAATGAAATGAACTGCATTTTATTTTGTTCATTCATACATAGCATAGCATAAAAATTTCATGCATATTAAATTATAATTACTCACTAAGTTATATCTATGGTTGCAATTAATAATTTATTTCAAGCCAAAATTTTAGGTTGTTATGTCTAATAGTAGTAGAGACTTGTTTTAAGGGAGGAGGACCACTGTGAAAATTTTAGGTTGTTATGTCTAATAGTAGAGACTTGTTTTAAGGGAGGAGGACCACTGTTACTAGGTATTTTTTATGATCTTGTCTCCTTCATATATTGATATATTGTTTAGTACTGGCTTGAGATGTCCATGGATGTTATTGTTTCTAGATATTTTATTTTTTATTATATTTTGTGGATTAGTGGCTCTTTTATATATGTTGGAGGTTTTCAAAATGAGGATAGTCAGATGTTAATACCATCCGACCTCTATACTCGTCTTAGTTAATTCTAAACATCTGACCGACTCGTGACACCCACTCCTCTTGGTTGCAACCCTAGAACAAATGGTCAAAAAAATTTTGGCCGGAGTGGCATGATTAGTTAAACCAAACTCAATCATCAAACCAACCCCTTATTTTGTCAATTTGGTTAGTAACTATGATGAAAGAAAAGTAATCTATATAGATGATTATAATAGTCGAGATGATTGGGTTTCTTTTTTCAACGCCAATTCAACCAAATTATTCAATTTACATGCCTAACTATCAATGGCTTCTTCACTATCCAACACTCAAATTCGTATAACATCTTGTCCTAATTGTAATTTTCTAAAATTTAACTTTTAAGTCATCATGACATCTAGCATATTTGCCATGCTTGTCATTTTACAAAATTTACTTTTAGATCTCATATCTCTATAATAATCTCAATTTGTATAAACCTTATAAATTACTTGAACAATTTTAATCACTTGGATTCAACTCTAGGAGTTCCGTTCTTATGCTTCCTCTACTATCTTGTATTACAAGCCAAACACACTTAAATCTATCAGCCTTGGTAACAGTTTTTACTGGTAACTATTAATCTTTATACAATTATACTTTTATTTTTTATCAACTGACTCAAATCACCTAATATTCCTTAAATTAACGTCATTATTGTAGCGGTTTACTTAGTTCAAAAAAACTCTATTTAATTTTAACGGTGTCATTAACAAATATAAATTATATGCAGATCCTTATGTTGAATGCAATACTTTTCCATAAATTGCCTTAGTACTGAAATCACCCCCTATAAAAGAACATTTTGGTACAATACTGAATTTATTTTCTCATATGCAAATAATATTTTATAACATACTTTGCATTAACCCATTGCTTAATTATATTCCATGAATAATAAGATTTATTCACCTATAAATTATTCAATCCTAAATATCCCAATTCTTTTAAAAAATTTGCATAATAAAGCTTCTTTTTCAATGTCTTGGGCATTTTCTTTAAAAAAAAATAATTATTAGCAAAATAATTCAGGAATTAGCAAACTACCTCAATATTATGAAGCATACAAAGCTTATAATATTTAAGTTGAACCAAATACCAATCTCTTATATTTAAATTATACTACTCAATATCTCTTATAATTAATATTTAAGTTGAACCAACTACCAACCTTTACACAAATGGCTAACATAGCTTCCATTTCTGAACCAGTCAAGAATATACTCCAAGGATCTGCTAATTTTGGCTTTTTGCAGAATTACTAGCACCTTTTATTTAATGATTATACAACCCAATCATGTATCCTTTATCAGAAAGTCACCTTCAGAGGATGCACAAGAGAATTACATGATCCTCTTATTAACAGGAATAGGATTAGGGAATAGGTAAAAGATCTGCTTTATAGTGCAGTAAAAATAATAAAAAAATGATGCATACAAACGAAGGTCAATTTCTTTGTCATGGGGCCTCAATTCATGTTAAGACGAACTAAATAACTCAATTCATGTTAATAATTAATCTTAATTGCATTTTTCCCATAATCACTAGATTTATAAAAGTAAAAAAAAAATTAATGGCGGGGTTAAATTTGGATTTTTCATTGGAGGGATCTCCTCAAGTTACAAAACTAAATGGACACAATTGAACTCCAAAGCGCAACATTGCTTACCAAAATAAGACCAATAATATTTGTAGGGTTCCCAGAGTAGATTGGCACTCGACTGTGACCTCTAGTCATTATCAAGCCCATCGTGTGCCTATCATGGCAAGGTACCGTCAAAAGTAAACAAAAACAGGAGGAAAAAAGTAGATGCATGTGATTTCATAACATACATGTCAAGCTTGGCATTGATATCAAGGGAAAATGTATCAGATATTGGAGTCATGGCATCTTTAGCAGTTTTTTGAGTCAAATCCAATGCTCCAGTAATAATAGTAGTTTCGTCATGAGTCAGCTCCCCACCCTTCCCTGCCTGAAAACCACTAGTTCATTTTAAAAAACAGTATACTTCACGATTATGAGTGCACGTTAGTCCAGCACAATTACAAAAGAATGTAAGAGTGATTATTATGATCACAATCATTAGTCATATCTAGGCTTGATTTTTTATTATTAATATTTTTGAAAATACGGGTGCTAGACCCTTCTCATCAAACAAAGAAATAAACTATAAATACAAAAGCAGGTAAAGTAAAAAAAAAAAAATTCAAAATCAATCATAGAGTAATACAAAACTAAATTGTTCGCAGATGCAACTTGGAAAACCGAGATTCACCATACTCTTCTTGATTTTAACAACCATATGCAATGATAAGAAGAAACCCAAAATATATAAAGACTAATGCTTCAAAGTACTTTGTCTTCTGTCTTCTTATTGTTGAAACAAGCTATATTTCACTTCGCAAGATTGACTAAAAAGCTGATAAACAGAATTGATACTAAAGATTTTTATAATTATTCATAATTTGCTAGCTCCATTACTGCCAAAAACAGTTCGGATACTACCAAATGGGCATTGACTTCAAAGTATCCAAAAGACTTCTCCATGTATGACTAATGACGCAGTGATTTAAGAAAAAATTTAAGTCATTCTCAGGGTAGGCGTTACAAATGTAAAATATTATGCACTTGAGTATCATCAATCTATGAAGACATATCTCACTTGGATTTTTTGTTCAAAAAATAAACTAAAAAGGAATGGCAACTTTGAAAAGGAAATAGAGTTCCAAATAATATTCAAAACAAGACACCATTCATAAGAAAAAATAGCAAGATTTAACAGAAAATTTATCACCCCAAAGTTCAAAATAGACTCATCCTAAGAAAAAGTAAGAGAAACACGATCAAACAAAGCATTCAAAATAGCCAGAACATCACTTAGATCAGCATGAACAACCCCTTTACGATGAATCCTCCAGCAAGGTTGTTTACAAATTGAGAACCAGCACTATAATAATTATCAAAGTCTGCCGGCTGCTGAATTTAATAGAGGAACTTTGTCAATCCATTAGTCTTTAAAAAATCTATCCACAATGTCAAAAGTTGACTTTCCAATATATGTTAATGACAACTGCTCAGAACCATACACTCCTTTGATAGAATTAAGCTCATTATAATTTTTTTCTTCCAAAAAATAAATTTATTGTTCCTACTTGAACACTTATCAAGAATGATTTTCCCACCAATGGAAGAATCATTGCCTTAAATAGATTTCCAAATCCGTTTGACAAGTGCAGAAATAATAAAGCTCTGTGGAACAAAAAATTCAAGACCGCCAAATTTTATCTATCAACATAAAAATTTCCCTTTTAAAGATTCAAACATCTTCCATCATCACAATCTTACCTGAGTAGCTTTTTCTTGCAGAGTTGATCCTTTAAATTATCCAGTGGTTAAACCCCATAGAAAATGAAACAATATAAATGATTGGACAACATAGAACTTTACTGCCCTTGACGAAATATTTACCTTACAACTACTTGACTCTTAAATCATTTTATAAATGAGAAAATTCAATAAAGCTTTCTTAATAAGCTTAGCTCTGGAAGAAATACCAATGTATTTAATAAATAATTCCTCGAAAGAAAATAAAGAGGAAACAAGCTCCTTATTTTTACCATCAACATTCCTAAAATAGATCAAAGATCTTTGAGAAATTGACATTGAAGATGTCACCAAAAAGCAATAAAATTATTTTAAGATGGATAACTTGTTGACAATTAGCACCACAGAAATTCAAAATATCTATGAAATTATATTTACACTTTTCATCCAAACTAAAGTTAGCTAAAAGTAATGATTTTGTTCAGTGTGGAGAACAGGAGCATTTAAAAATAGACGGGGGAGATAATGGGAGAAGAGAGGAGCAGTGGGATGACAAGGGGAGCACTTGGTCATAAGGAAAGAGATGTGAATGAGTTAATCGAGAGGGAACCTAAAGTGAGAAAAAAGCGGGCTGTGCGAACAATGTATGAAGTTGCAATAGATTCAAAGGAGAGAAGCTTGTGTGCTGGGTTGGAGAAATTTGGCGATTGAGAGAGTAGGCAGCAGCGTGATTAGAAGAAAAAGAAGCTTATTGGAAGAAAGAGAGAGAAGTTGAGGCCAACTGAGTGGAGTTTATATATATAAACTTTTCTATGGGGGCTCAATGACCCTCCCCTGTTATTTTCATGTGGGCGCCGATAACTGGTAGGCATTCATTTGCCTGTGTGCGTGTGTTTTTCCTTAATATCCTTTTTTTTTTGTATTTATTTATTTTTATAGCAGTTGGGGGTGTGGGGGTTCCAAAGTAAAAAATATTTTTTTTCAATGTAAAAAATATTTTTTTTCATTTTCAGTTAGATATATAATTTATTTTTTATTACTAGAATTCAATTCAATGATGATAATTATTATTATTAATGCAATTTTTTATTATGTTTTATTAAATGAGTGTGTGTGCATGCTCTTACATATAAATTTATAATCTTTCTGCATGTTGAATTTTATCCTGACCTCGCGCAACAACTCAGTGCTCAAGGATGTGCAATTATCCTAATAGCAGCTCTTGTAGCTTAGCTGAGTAAGCATCATGCACTGTATTTAGAAAATCATAGTTTAATTCATGATTGACTTCCTTCCTGCCTACTATCTTTACTAAAATAATTATTTATTAAAAACAAAGTAAATATGCTTGGCAAAAAAAATTTAAACAGGACAAAAAAATCAAAATTACCATAATCACTTAATTTGAAGTTTCTGAATTTTTTATAAGGTTCAAATATATAATAAAAAAATGAAAAATATAATTCTTTAAGTTTATTTTACTAATATAAACTTTAAACCAGACAAGTTTAGCAAGAATAGTAACACTTTAATCAAGCAAATCTTATAATTTTTCTATAAAGCAAACGTGCTGAGACTTGCTAGAATTCATTTCGATGAAGATGATTATTATTATTGTTTTTTTTTTTTATTAAATGAGTGTGTGTGCATGTTCTTTCCAATAAATTATAATCTTTCTGCATGTTTAATTTTATCCACACCTCGCTTAAAAACATGCAATGCTCAAGAATGTGCAGTGGTGTGCATAGGAAATATACTTGTTTATATTTTATTTTAATATGCTTTTACGTTGATTTTACGCACTTCCGGAATGTATTCGTGTTGTGTCTTGCAGGATTCAAGAAAGACAAGTCAACGGAACTGAAGAAAATCAGAAAATTGCTAGGTGAGGGAGTAACACCTATGCGCCCACAGACCAACGTCTAAACACCCAGAAGCAACGCCTAGGCTCTCACCCAAAAATTCATCCCCGAGAAGGCGGAAAGTAAACCCCACAACTGCAGTGCTTGGCGCCACAGACCAATGCCTAAGAGCTATTTCACGCAATTTGGTGGTTTTGGAGGTTTGAATGCGACTCTTAGTCTGAAAATACATAAATAGGCTTCAGATGATGGAGAGGGGGACCGTTGGGCCTATTCTAAGTGTGGAGCACAAGAAGAAAAGCCAAAGGAAGATCCAATAAGTTGTTTGAGTGAAGTAAAGAGAGTGTGTAAGAATTTGTGAAACTTTTTGCTTGTATAGTCATCAATTCAATTAATAAGGGAAAGATATGAGTTCTTTGTGTTATATTATTGACTTCAATACGTTAAAACTTCTTGTATTTGATATCTTCTTTCAATAAAATGTTTATGTTGATGTGTACAAGCATAGATGGTGAATAGTCCTCGAATTCTCCTTTTGATTGGATTTGCATGGATGATATAATTGAGATTATTTGAGTGATTCATAGTGGAATGCACAAACTTAATGTTGCGTTAACCTTTAAAACATAATTTACATTTTGTCTGGTCAATAGAATAGTTAAAACTCAATTTAAATTATGAGATTTAGAATGATAATTAGTAGAATGATTAGGTTAACCACATGAGTTTAGAGGAATAGGGATGCTGCCTCCAGATTTGTGCAAGCCTAAAGGGAGAAGTTTAAATTTGGGTTTTTCACTAGATTTAGGGAACTAAACTAGTGAGAGCTAATCTTTTTAGATGCCCAAGAGGGAATAAGAAAAAGTGTGCTCGTGATTTACACTTTTAATTTAAATCACTGATTAAATTCTTGAATTCCGCAAGACCAATTCAAAGGAGAATTTTCTTGCATTTGGCAACTCTCTTGAAAACTTCCCCTTGCAAGCTTAGGTTGTTTTACTTTCAGAAATTTAGGAAAGTCACATTATATAAACGCAAATTTCTGAAATCAAGCTAGGTTCAATATCAGTAGACTAGAACTTTTTTGCCTTGGGATTTAGCTCTGCTCCCTATGGGATCAATACACGAAAACTCAATTTCGTATATTACTTACACGACACATATATTTACGTGAGTCATCAGTGCATCGCCACACTTGGTTTGTATCATGTAGTTGTCTTAATAATAACATAATTGAAGTATCTTTTAATCTCAGAAGTTGAAGACTAAGCCTCATGCACTTTATTTGGAAAATCATAGTTTAATTCATGTTTCATTTCTTGCCTATTACCTTTACTGAAATAATTATTAATTAAAAACTAAGTAAATATGATTAGCAAAAAAAAAATAACAAGAGAAAATAATCAAATTTATCTTAATTATTATTTGAAGTTTTTGAATTTTTTATGATGTTGAAAAATACAATAAATTGTTATAAATATTATTCTTTAAGTTTATTTTACTAATATAAACTTTAATCCAGGGAAATTCAGCAAAAGTAGTAAACCTTTACACAAATATTCATGCCAATCCAATTAACTTTTTAAAAAACTAGCATGATGAGAAATACTATATCTTTAAGCAATTCCTCTATCTATAAATATTGAAAATATCATAAAAAATACCTCCAGTAAAATTTATAGATATTAGTCTTGATTTTAAAATATTTATGTGAAATTCTATAAAACAATAACTAAATTGATTTTATAAAATATGATTATCTTTCTTATCCATAAAATGCTACTAAAATGCCCCTCTAACATTTTTTGCCATTAAAAGCTCAGCATAAACTCTCAAGAGAATAATAAATGTTATTGAGAGGAACGAAAGCCTCAAATATTACTACTGCGAGAAGTCAAAGCCGAGTTGAACTCAAGAAATGTCTTGGGATGATGGAAACAAAAAATGAGCCAAATATCAAAAAGAAAACGCTTGCAATGCGTGTAATTTTGAAGCCTAGAAGTCCATTGATCACATAATAATGATGATAGCATCGCCCCAATCATCCACAATTTGAGAGTTGAATTAGGCACCACCCCATAACTTACCTAACACAGTCATGATTGCCCCTATTATTATGTGCATTCAGTGTTAAACTATCATAAATGTTCATTAGTTGAAATTGATATTGCTTATCTATATAAATGAGCATCCTAGGAGAGAAAAAGATTGGATTCTTTCAATTGACTACTCACCATAGAGAGAGATATCAAGGATCAAAGAGCCAAGAAAGAGAGAAGGAGACTTTATAAAAGTTTAAGAATTAGAAAAAACAGATTTAAGAAAGACTTATCTTCCTCCTATTTTTGTCTCATTCTCTTACCTATTTTTGTCTCATTATCTTATCAATGAAAGTATTGTACTTCTTTCTCATAAGAGCTAGGAACCGACAACGGCATTTAGAAAACAAAATTTCATAATAATAATAACAGTAATAATAATAGCAACAATAATAATAAATTTTTCAAAACAATTTTTATGATAAATACAAAGAAGGTATTGGACAATGAATACAAGGACTGCAATGGCGATGGCATTCTCATGAAAGAACCCAAATATAAACATAAGCAAACTCAAAGGCAACTCAAGTGCCAGAAAATATCTTTTAACCACATCAGTAAACACAGTCATTCATATTAATTGCAATGTTAGTGATGACGCACTAAAGCTATTTTAGATAACATGATTGTGAATTCAGTTGATGAATAATGTACATGTTGGAAGCCATTTAACATCCTAAAAAAATATCAAACATCTAATGTTTTCAACTAAAAATGAACAATATAACAAATATTAAGTCGATTTTTTATGTTATCTGAGAATTTTCCAATAATTAATGCCATATGTTAAAAATAAAAAATAGCTCGATGAAGTTCTCGATGAATACATTCACTAATCCAATCAAACTAGCTTCCATTGGATATCATTTGGCATACAAACATTTTAAACACAGAAATGAGATAAGAAGCATTCTATCTTTAAGAAATTCATCATTAGTAACATAAATGAAATGAAGGGCAAACCTCATTTCCATGCATATCTACCAATGTCCTTAATTCTGCCCTTCGGAGGAGTGCATAATGCCCCTTCCCTAGCAACCAGTCCAACAACTGCAGGTGGAATTTCAGAACATTTAACAAAGGGTATTAGGCAAGCAAAAATAGAATATAGCATCAACAATTACATCTCAGAATACTTGGAGCAGCATGTTTAATATGCTAGACGGCGGAAAATTTATTCAAATCAACCACATCCGATAAGCATTAAGGAAAGCCAATTGGTACAGTCATATAGGAAAGGACCACGTCCAGCAACACTATTATTTAAGATTTAAGGGACTTCAATGGGAGGCCTTCCTTTGATATAGATAGGAGGAAAAGACTACATAGATGCTCAAGTGAAAAGAAGCCATTATAGAATCATCATAATCAGCTTTGGCACCTAATTTTTATGCCCTCTAAAATAACTACTTGCTTTCGCAAGAGAAATTTCTAAAATTATTTGATGCCATATCTTCTTGTTTTTTTATTTCTTGCAATTTTCATGGCATCCGGCCCTCAAATTGATACTCAAGCTAAAATGAAACTTTTACCTACATGATCTTGGGTAAGGAGTTCTTGTTCTCGCAGCCACTGCACTCTAAATTAATGCATAGCAAAGGAACAGCCTAATCTTCACAAGCGAATACAATTAACCTAAGCTAGAAATTAATAAATAATAAAGTTCTAATGTTGATCAGATCTGCAAAAAAATGAAATAGAATAATCAATCCAAGAAAAAATTTCATAAGGATGGATAACAGACTGATTTAGTTTTGTAATATGTGAGTACCAAAGCATGGAACTAAAACATGAGAATGTTATGAAGAATAATAGATATATGCGAGCATCCATCCAATAATTGCAGCATAAGTATCTTCCTTTAAAGATTACTATTTTGTCAAATAATTCAATTTATCAATCAAACTGCTAGGAAGCAATGTCCTTTTAACATATTGAATTCCAATGTAAAAAAAGCTTAAAATTCTTCCCCATCACATAAGACCAGGAAACAACTCATTAAAGCCTTAAAGCAGCCACAATGTCCATCTTGGCTCTGTGAAGGAGTCAACGGAACAAAAATACCTAAAGGCTTGAAGTGATTCACATTTTCAAAAATAAGAACGCTTATACATGAAACATGAATAAGATCAATGAGGTTTTCATGATTTATAAAATCAATTTCTCTATGTTAATACAAATCTCATTCTTTAGAGTATCATATATTGAGTTTAGGGTGTAACCCTATATTTAAAGTTTTAGGTGATTTTAAATAACTAGAATTCCACTTGAGCTGTCCATAACTTTCCATTGTCAGAACGCTAAAAGATAGAAGTAATTCTGCTGGCGGTGAAAATGATTACTTATGAACAAAGATGCACACAAAATAGAAAAAAGATAGATAAAATTAAAAATCTATCATATTCTGACTCGAATTCTGAGTCCCTTAAGCACTCGATATTGCTTAACTAAATCTCGAGTAAGACTCACCTTACTGATGGGATACGCTATTGGAAAGAAAACAAGCAGAAGAACCCGCACAATCCCAGCCGTCCGGGCTCCCACGCTCAGCCCATAGCGGGAACAGACGGATTGGGGAATAATCTAGGACACCAAAAACAATCACAAGAAATCGCGTCAGATTTCGTCCCTTCGGCGCTTCCAACTAAAGAAGTTTCTCCCATCTATCTTCTGCAGAAAAAGCCGGAGGCCAATAAAACTTTAAAACATACCTCGCCGGCCACTAGAATAAGAGTGACAGATATCAATATCGCGCCCCAAGCAGGAACCAAGGCATCAAGAAATATGGGCAGCGCCTAGCGGAAATCGCACATTTACAAAATTAATCGTGATTATAATACTGGCCAGAGATTAATTCAGTTAAGGCAGAGAAGAGAGACCTCCATGGCTAGGGAATTTCCGATGAGCAGTGTGCATAGAAGCAGATGCTGGTTCTTCACCACAGGTAGAATCTTCACTGGCAATCGAGAAAAAAAGATCAGGACTGAATGAAAGCTGAAATAGACAATGAGTATAACATAGTTAAAGTTAAGAAAGGAGATGAATACAGACTGGCATTCTTCTTGTCCTCGGGACGGCCCGACTTGGTGATAACCTCAAGGTCCACCAGGCTAAGCGACATGAGACCAAGGGTTAGCCCCGACATGAGCCCCGCAAACAAAACCAGACACACGCTTACAGCCAGGTATAACCAGAACACCGGTCCGCAGCATGGCTCCGACATTTACCCTCTGTCGGTCGCCGGCGAGCCCAAACGGACAGGAAGATGACGATTAAATTGGGAGCCAAATGAAGCTCAAGAAAATATGCGATGAAGCAAAGGAAGCAACGTCTATTTCTAACTCTGCTCGCTCGACCCGCCACCTGCTGCACTTGCCGACGAAGAGGTGGTGCGTGCCTTTCCGCAAGAGAACTATGCCATGAACTCAAAGGTAGGAAAGAACAACCAGCTGCAGCATCAGCAGCAAACCCGGGCATCGGGGCAGCCGGCCAGTGCACCATTTTTATAGTAGGATCGAACGCTGCATAGTGGGTTTTTTTTTTTTTTCTCTTTTGATTATGACCAGGCTTCTAAATTCCGTTTAGCTTCTAAATTCCGTATACTCACTAGTGCCAAATACAATAAAGGTAAAATAAGTTCGAGATAAGTTTAAGATAAATATGTTGTGAAGATTAAAATCTGTTCATTATTCAAATTTGACATTTTCTCATGATAATAAATTAGATTTAATACTCGAAATTATTTATCAGATTAATTGTTCTTAATTTCTTCTATGATTTGCTGCAGTAATAAATTAGATTTAATACTCAAAATTATTTATCAGATTAATTGTTCTTAATTTCTTTTATGATTTGCGGCATAAGAGAAAAATAAATAATTAATGTGTTTCATTAATTATTTGATTAATTTTTAATGGGTTTAATGACATTAAGAAATTAATAAATAGGCATGTCAGCTCCTCTTGTCATCTCCTATTCGACATTAGTAGTTTTTCAGGTTCATCTTCCGGTGTGCTTCGGTTTGAAGCTCTTGGGTTGAGAGAGAAGAAGAAAAGGAGAGGAGAAGGAAATGATGATTTCTTGTAATCGTCGAGGTAATCGATGGCTGAAATTCCTCAAGCTAATATAATCATCTGCAGTTTCGTGGATATAGACAATTTGTCAAACCGCATAAATCTTTGTGTTTCGCTGTTCTTTTTGCAATTTTTTTCTCGATCCAATTTTTTGTTTTATTGTCGTCGTTTTTTCATAGCAAAATAAACTTGTGAGTCGCATTTTATTGCGAGTATTTAGTGTTGTGCCTAAATAACATTTGCTTCTGTGGGTAGTTGTTAGATGTTGTGACTAATAGCAATTTGTGACAATATGATGGGCTTTATGTTCACAATTAAAATTCATTCAAATGGATGAATTTTAAATATATTTTAATGAATTGGCCAAGTAAATGTTAAATACATCAAAATAGATTAAGAGAAGATATTGTGAAAATTATTTTGAAAGATTCAAGGCAAAATTTTAAACATTCGAGCACAAAATATAAAGATCACATAAATACAAAATTTAGCATTGAAAAACTTGAGAAATGGGAAAAAAACAAAAACACATCACACCAAGAAATTCAGTATGCAGAAAAAAGATGATAATCGTACAAATTACACTATACTCAAACATCTCTAGACTTTGGAACACTCGAGAACACTTCTCTCCTCTCATTCGCATAAGAGGTTTCAGAATCCAACATACCCCAATCAGCAAAACCAACACAATAAGTACAAAGTTGCCCAAAAAAGGTTAGAGCATCATCATGTCGAGCTAAGGTGCTCTAATGGGTATTGGGATGCTGCATCACGACACTACAGTGTTATACTCTTGAGTTTGAAACTAGAGTGGGCACGACAATGTGTCATTCTAAGTGTTGGGGTGTTGCCAGTACTTTTTAAGGCACTATGCACAAGGAAAAAAAATCATTGACCCGTCAAACTCATCATTAAAGCTTGATATTCACCATCTAATCAAACAATTGACAATTGATCTAGAAAATCTGGCTCCAGAAAATAATAAATAATTATTCTATATTTATTCTAAATATTCATATTTCTACATTTCACTTATTTTATTTGACAAATATTACCAACTAAATGCCCTTGAATCTTGATCAAAACATAAGAAATTTATAAAGATCTTGGTCCTTCCACGAAATCTAATTTGTAATAATCATAATTATTAATTTTAAATATTATTTGTTAATAATTTCCAAAAATATTGCAATAGCATTGTTGTTGAAGTGTTGATCCTGGAAGAGCGACCATAACCGCAAGAAAGTCAAGCAAGTAATAGACGTAAATCAAGCAAGGCGCACCAGGGCGTCCCCCGCGCCTAGATGGCGCATCATTGCCTGCAAAATGAGGATTTCATGCACGCACACCTATAGACAGAGGGTATGACGCACCCGCATCAGGGTATGTAGTGCACATGCGTAAAGAGCACGACACTCCCGTGCAAATGACGGGCGCGGACGTGTTGGGTGCAATTGGCTTTCGGATTCGGTTTAAACCTTTTGTTCTAAGCAACAAAGTTGTCAATCCCTCATGTGAGATATTTTGACGGGTTTCTCTTAAAAAAGAAAATGGTTGAGGAGGAGAATTTTAGCATGCATTTTCTCTTGTAAGATCAAGAGCAAAGTTTGAAGTAAAATTTTGTGAGTCCATCAAATTTAGAGATGATATCTAAAGGAATATTTTGTGCATTGTTGAATTTTATAGTAGATTTTTCTTAGTAGTGTTGATCTGTTATTTTTCCCTGTTAACGGAATTTTCCAAGTTAAATTTTGATGTGTTTTTTTGGTTCTTTTTTTGTTATGCTTCAGTTCAAATATTTTATTATGGCTTTCTCAAATTAGTGTTTATCATATTTTTTTGTGTTATTTTGATTTCTAATTTGATCAAAGTCGTGGAGGTAGTGACCCGAAAGAACGGACGTGTCATGAAGGCAGTGACTGACCAAAGGAAAATATGTTGAGATTTCATATCTATTTTATACTGTTTTTAATGATATTGAACTTTAAAGAAATGTATTTTTGATGTTTTGTTGCAGGAATGATGAATTAGGGTCAATGGAGCAAAAAAATACAAAAAGAAGCGGATTGGGAGCGAAAAGGACCAAAATGTAGAGATTTGAACTAAAGGCGCCGACGGCGCCATCGACGTCGCCGACGGCGAGAGGCTACAGGACAAAATTTTTTCCCTATACTACAACACAAAATTCTTCAGAAGTCCACCGACGGCGCCCTCGAGGCCGCCGACGGG